GGAACCAAATAGAGTCCAGAGGATTTACTGAACTTGGGAACTGAGTGTGCAGACTCTGACACAGCCCTCTTTACAGTGAACTCGCTATAGAAGTGCTGTTGTGGGTATATGTGGAACAGTTTGTTGGTAAAATCACTCAGGTCTTCTGTTCTTACCTTGGGCAGCTCAAGTCAGTAGCAGTGGGGGAGAAGTCAGCTTGGTAGCCACTGTCTCATGGGGTAAAACAGGGGTTGGTTCCCTCCCTACTGTTTAGTATCCATATGTAGGTGTTGGGAGGAATTATCTGGGAGTTTAAGGTACATTACCGTAACCGTGCTAATAATACAGAGTTTTTAAACTCTCACTCCGGGCCCAGCTGGAGATGCCATCAGCCTTATCTGGCGTCTGAAGGCCTTTGGGATCTGGATGGGATGAAACAAGCTAAAACTGAAGACACGTAAGGTGGAGTTGCTGTATGTTCATTACACACAGTTCCAGTGGTGTGTCTCAAGGGGGTGGCCTGAGGGAGCAGTTCCATGACCTGAGGAACCTCCTGGACTCATAGCCACTGCTGTGTGAACAAGTGGAAGTCAGAAGGCCTTTGTCCAGTCCAGCTAATGTGAGGGTTGCAGCCCTTCCTGGAGCAAGAGAACCTAAATACAGTGACTAATGTCCTTAGCACTGCTTGCTTGGACTTGGCAATGCGCTCTACATAGGGCTACATTTAAAAACCACTCAGAAATTGCAACTGGTTCAAAATGCAGTAGTCCATCTATTGACTCGTACTCACGGCCATGACCATATTACTTCTATGTTGTGAACTTTGCATTGGTCACTGACAGGTTTCCTGATACAAGCCAAAATACTAATTTTAAATAATAAAGCCCTAGATGTCTTGGCACCAAGGTTATTGCAGGACCATCTACTCCAACCTGAGTTGGTCCATCCAATGTGATAATACAAGGAAAAGCTGCTGCTGGTAACCCATTTTTGTGAAGTGAAGGTAGCCAAGGCCAGAAAACAGGTTTTTTGCCATGCCCCCAATTCTTTGAAATAGCCTCCCCCCAGTAGTGAAATAGCCTCCCATCCTTTCAATGCTGACTTTTTGGATAGCCTTCAGAGATTAACTCTTCATGATCTGCATTTGTGTTTTTGTAACTTGTATTTTGTCATTGGCATTATTACTATCAATTTTACTAATTATTAGATTAGGTTTATGTTGCATTGGGTTGAGTGGGTTTGACTTACTGTTGTGGACATTTTATTAATTTATTATTGTGGATATTTTATTTTTAACATATGTCTTCATTGTAAGTCACTAGGAAACTGGAGGGATTCAGGAACATGCTAATAATAATATACTATAAAAATAGTACACAGGTAGTCCTCGCCTAATGACTATTCGTTCAGTGACCATTCGAACTTACAGCGGTGCTTCCCCCACCTGCCTCTCCCCTCCCCCATCTCTGCCCTTTTGGCCTCCCTGCACAGCGTCACTCCTCGGCGGTGACGCTGAGGCTGAATTAGAGGCCCAGGGCCTTCAGCAGTCTCAGCCAGCTGCCACCAACCCTGGGCCTCTACTTCAGCCCCAGTACCACCTGCACTGCCACCAAGGAGTGCTGCCTCAAGCTCCATGCTGTGGCCAGCCACCAAGCGCCAAATGGAGGACCCAGCCACTCTCACCGCCCTGTGCTCCACAAACCCTGACATGCCCAGCTGACCTTCACCGTCTTCCTCACGCTGCTGATGAGGTGTGCCTGGCCTGGCCCTATGCGAGGCAGCTGCTGGCTGTGCCAGGCCTTCTTCCCAAGGCTGCCTGCGCCATTCTCCAAATTGCGTGCACTTTGAAGCATTGCACTGAAGCAATGCTTCAGAAGGCCTCAAATGCTTTCTGAAGGCTTTCCAAAGCATTGCAAGAATGGCACGCACTGTTTGGAGAACAGTGGGTGCAGCCATCTGGCAACGTTTCAGAAGGCCTTCAGAAGGATCACAAGAAAGGCATGCGCTATTTGAAGAATGGCACACATGGCCTCAGGAAGGAGGCCTGGCAGAGCCAGCAGCTGCCTCGCACAGGGTCACTCCTGGTGTGCCTCAGCAGCAGCAGGCGAAAGATGGCTAAGGTCAGCTGGGCACAGCAGGGCCTGCAGAGTGCAGGGTGGTAGAGATGGTTGGGACTTTATGTTGTGGTGCTGGAATGGCTGTGGCACAGGCTTGAGGCGCACTCCTTGGTGGCAGCACCAGCAGCGCTGGAGCTGAAGTAGAAGCCTGGTGGCGGTGGCAGCCAGCTGAGACTGCTGAAGGCCTCGGGCCTCTACTTTCCCCCTAGCGCCACCACCGAGGAGTGCTGCTATGCAGGGCAGCAAGAAGGGCAGAGATGGGAGGGAGATAGGTGGGTAGGAGGAGCTGAAGAGGAACAGCCCCTTACCTTACCGAGGCTCAGGGCTGGGAGGGACCAAGCTAGGAATGACTTGGATTGGGGTGGGTCCTGGCCTAATAACCAGTGGGGTTTGGTTAACGACGGCAACGGGGACTACTGGAATTGCCATCCCTAAGCGATGCGTTAACGTGACATTGCGCTTTACGACCACATTGCTTAGCGATGGAATACCATCATAATTTGAGGATTGCCTGTAGCAATTATTGTTACTATTTGGAATGGATTAAAATTCCAAAGAAACCCAACAATTGCGTTCATGTCTCACAGACAGGGAGAACCAACATATCTGGTTGAAGAGTCAATGAGAAACAAATTCGTGGATATTTTACCATTCATATTATTTTAACCATATTTTTAATAATACAGCTATTGCTATTGTTTGTTAGATACATTGTAAATTACTATAGGCAAACTCTTGTGAAAAAGTGAAGAAGTTCATTAAGTGTAAAATGAATGCATTTTTTGTCCACAGCATATTAAACAATTCATTAATGAGACCTGGCTGGAACGACATGGCTCACCACTCCCTCAAGAAAACATTGTCTTGCTGTGGTCCTTCATTGTGTCCAGTTACGGGATTGGAGGACTCTTAGGGAGTGTCTGTTGTGGATACCTCACCACAAAATATAGGAAGTAAGCTTCTTTACTAGTTAGATATATCTATAGTATGGCCTTACTCATTATCTTCAAGTACCAAATGTTCAAAATGTTTGAAACTGTACACCAGGCCAACAGTTTGGTGCCCTATTCAGGGTGTTCACAGGGCATGGTAAAAATAAAAGTCAAGATGGTGGCCACAAAACTCTCCTTCAATATTCTTTCCTCAAAGTTAAATATTCCCAGCTCCTTTAATCTCTCCCTGATTATCCTTCTTGTCCTTCTCTAAACCTGTTTGAGATTATCTGAATCCTTCTTACGGGTAGTCCTTGGTTAACAACCACTTGTTCAGTGACCATTTGAAGTTCTGACAGTACAGAACGAGTGGTACTTAGGACTGGTCCTTGAAGTTCCAGCTTTCCCAGCACCCTTGCAGTCATGTGATTGTGATCTGGGCCCTTGGCTACTAGCTCGCACTTACAGCAGTTACAGCATCCCACGGTCACATGATCACCATTTGCGACTTTCCCTGCCAGCTTCCCACAAGCAAAGTCAACGGGGAAACCGGCAGGGAAGGTCACAAGTCACTCGGGTAAGTTTCCCCCACCGTGCAGCAGCTACTCCCAGCCCCTCCCCATTTGTACCACACCTCGCTGGTCCCTTGCATAGCCTTCTGCACCCTAAAGCAGCCACCCCAAGCCCTGCCATGCTTATGCCATGCCACACTACCCCTCATGTTCCCTTCTGTACTGGCAGCAGCCACTTACCTGCCCACAGCCTGCTTGTGAGCTGCCTGGGACTTACAGTTTCTTGCCAGATTTCCCACTGACTGCTTGTTGGAAGCCAGTAGGAAGTTCCAAGGAGGTCCTTGCTTAACAACCTGCGACCCTTGCAATGGGGAGTACCAGGATTGCTGCTGCTAAGCAATGAGGTCACGTGATGTCACGCTTTACGACTGCATCACTTAGTGATGAAAATCTGGTCCCAATTACCATTGTTAACCAAGGACTACTTGTACATTGTAGCTTCCAGAGCACAATACTGAGGTGGGGTCTCGAAGTATTACTTTCAATGATGTAGAAATTATTCTTTTGTTGATAAAATATGAAATTAATTGGCCTTTTCAGCAGTCAAGGCACATTGCTGACTCACTTTTAGCTTTTAATTAATGTTTTAGTTTTTGAAGATAATGGTGTTTGCTGTCCTCCAGTTATCCAGTATGACACATAAGGGTTCAGCCAGATCTTCAACTAGTTCCACAGGTACCCCAGGATGCAACTCATCTAGTCTTGGAATGTAAACTAATTCAAAGTACAAAGTATTCTCTGATCATGTTTCTATCAACTGTGTGCTTCGATCCTGCCCCTTCATACTGCTCTTCACAATTCCCTAGTGAAAGCCATTGTTTTTATCATTGTTGAAGACTGAATTAAAACAGAATTTGAATAGCTCTGTCTTTCCTTTGATAGTTGTTAGCATTCTGCCTTCTTTACTAAATGGGCAGCATACTGATTCTTTAGTATCACTTCTACTCTGAACATACCTACAGAAGCTCCTTCTGCTATTCTTAGCACCCACTGCTACCCTCCATTCATTCTGACACCAGCTGTACAGTTCCAGGCTACTGGACAGCACCCTTCCTGTGTGATTTGCCCCTCTTTCATTTCAGTTTTTGTTTTTAGTTCTTCACTAATCTTTTTCTGTAGCCAAGTTGACTTCTTCTGCTGTCCACTTTTTTTCCTCCTCACTGGAATTGTTTGCAATTGTGCTTTTAATATCTCCTTCTTTAGGAACTCCCACCTCTCTTTCTGAGCTTCTTTACCCATTAGTTTCTCCTGTTGTGCACTTATATGTTCACTTTCCCCCAAAGGTCCTGTGACTCGCACTTCCTCTAAGTTATCCATTAATATCAGATGAAAGCAGCTGACCCTCCTGTGGCTTTCTCCAGCCTTTGAGAGAGAAAGTTGTCAGTGAGATCAAACAGGAATTACCTGGCAGGACCATCCTTGGGAGAATATGTCTCCTAACAAATGTTGAGGTCATTAAAAGCCATTCCCCATTAATGAATTGTAGCAACTCCATAGCATCACCCTGCCATCAGCTGAGATGATACGAATCCTGTCCTTATTGTTTTTATTAGGCAGTACAGCGGCTGGGTAACTAACAGGGGAATTAGCAATTTCTCATATCACTTTGATTTTATACAGTTTGTTTTCAGAAGACATCATCCAGACCTTCTCTTGGTTTGGAAGCCAATGCCAGACATCCACAAGGGTATTTTTTAAATTTGTTCCTCCACTTATTTTAAACCAGATGCTCTTTACAGTATTGGCAAGTTCGTTCACATGGATTTCTAAGCAAAACTAAATACTGTAGCTTTCCATAGTTATATTTCTATTATGAAAGTCATCCCAACATGTCCCTTAAATTGCATTTGCTCTTCTGTACTAACAGTTCAAGTTTATCTTATTTTCCATTCTGTGAGCACTCAGGTATAGACTATGAAAGCCATGAACTGTTTGTTTGTAAGATTTGTACAGCTGCCCATCTTAAAACACAACTCTGGGTGGTTCACAACAATAAAACTCAGAACTATGAAAATCACAAAACATAAAACCATAAAACTTCATGAGCCAAGTGGTTTAAAAAGCCCCAGTTCAGCAACATTTCTACTTTCCACCATGCCCAGATGTTTATCTGCCAGTCTTCTTTCAGGATTTCCAAGCTCACCCCTACAAGATTCAGTTCAAAGCCCTCCTAATCAAGCTTGCCACGCTTTAGCCAAAGACGTCTTATCAGTTCTTGTCAGGTGCCACTCATCTTGTGCCAACAATCAATCATCTAAATACCTTACACTATGGTCCCGGAGCCAAATTTCTACCAGTGACACCATTTGTATGGCCAGTCATTGACTTGCAATCGGGGGCATCCACAGGAATGTGAAAAAAAGTCAAGATGATGGCTGAACTCCATGGTCATGTTCTACCCCTTCTAACAATTAGATGTTAAAATAAGAGAATTGGAACAAAAGCATAAAACCAATCTAAACAAACAGTTGAAATAATTGCAAGAAACTAAACAACAGTTAAATTTATTCGAAACAGAAGAATTGCACAAGAAAATAAAATGCATGGTCATGGACACAATCTTTTTTGACCCTCCCCTCTTTGCACACCCTACTTGCAGTAGTTTTCTTTCTAGTCCTCTTCTATGGACTGGAAGCATGTGGAGAATACCATCTGAACCCTTTAGGGATTAGGGTATTGTGCTTCCTTCTGAAATCTTCAAAGTCTGTGCTGATTCACTTGGAGCTGTTCTCCAAAGAAGATGTCCCCACATGCATCAGCTGGAAAGGTAATTGTCTGTGGACTTGGCAATTGTTCAGTCACATATTGATCCTTGCTTCTGGCAATGCATCCAATTGGTATACATTTCTTTAATTTCCTCATAATACTGAGTTACCAGCTTAGCATGACTTCTTATACAGTACCTTTGTATTTGTCTCTCCTTCGATGATTCCTTCTTCTGCAGTTTCTCTTTTTCTTCCCTAAATGCTCTGAGCCTGTTATGTCTGCAGGGGCCTAAAACCTGTTTCTGAATATGCAGAATGACTGTGTTTCTTGCTTCCGGTTGTTTTTCTCACCCACTGAAATTGCTCATCTGTCTGAATATTGAGGGCTGCTGCTTCTTTTGAACTGATAAATCCTTGTACTTTCTCATCAAATGAAATGTGCGACCGCTCACTGCTCCAATCCTTTTTTTTTTTCTTTAAGGACTGCTTTTGTTTACTGAGAACCTATGCCAGGTTATTTTTGGTCAATTCAAACATGCTATAAGTATCACAGATCATAACATATATGCTACTGCCCATTCACTTCTTCAGCTTAGAGCACACCAACAGAAAGACTTATTTCTCAAGCTCCCTCTAGCCTGAGAAACTCTTGACTCAGAGGGACAATCTTAGGAACTCCCCATTAGACTCCAGCTTGCTCAATGAGCTCATTCTCTAGGACCAGACTGCCTTATATTCCTCTTACAGTCTCTGCTTACTCAATAATAAGCAGTCATCCAATTACCCATAATGGGCAATGGACAGCTCTCAGGATGTATCACTTGCAGTCAAACAGTTATTCAGAAATGGGTTTTTCAGTCCTCACAGTTCAACATACCAATCCTCAGCACTCTTTGCTTCTCTAGTCACCCTTCTTCTCCCCCTGTTGAACCCACCAGGCAAACTCCTGTTAGCTCTATTTCCTCACTCAATGAGCTTATACCTTGGCACTTTGTTGTTGTTGTTTGTGCCTTCAAGTCACTCCTGGTGACTGCCTGGACAAGTCCCTGCAGTTTTCTTGGCAAGATTTTCAGAAGTGGTTTGCG